ACGCCTGCGACCTGTTGAAGGCGCCGCCGACGACGAGGGACCTCGACCGCGTGCTCGGCCGCGGCGACGCGCTGCGCGTGCCGGGCGCGGTGTCCGCGCACTTTCGGCAGGCGTCGGACCGCGCGAAGACGCTGAAGCGCAAGCTCGCCCAGCTCTGCCGCAAGCCCGACCCGCCCAAGGCGCCCAAGGCCAAGGTCGCCAAGGTCGCCCGGGACGCGCCCGCGCCGCTCCGCGCGTCGTCGCGCCTCGACGGCGCCGGCGTCGGCGGCGACGAGCCCGCGCCCAAGGCCGCGCCGGCGAAGAAGGAGAAGCGCGTCGACGTCGCCGCCGTGCGCGTCGTCCTCGACGCCGCGCGCCACGTGCCCGTGCGGCTGGAAACGTTGAAGCGGCGCTGCGCGTCGATCGCCGAGGACGCGGGCCGCCGCTACTGCGAGTGCCGCGGCCCCTCGGACGGCTCCTTCATGCTCGGCTGCAACGCCTGCGACGAGTGGTTCCACGGCGCCTGCGTCGGCGTCGACGAGCACGACGAGGCCGCCGTCGACGCCTTCAAGTGCGCCGCGTGCGTGTCGCGCGAGACGGGCGCGCCGCCGGCGCCGGCCGCGCCGCGGCCGTCGGACTCGGACGACGACGAGCCGCTGGGGTCGCCGCGGCCCGCCGCGCCGAAGCGCGACGCCTTCGCGCTGCCCTGGCCGCCCGCGGCGCTCTGCGCGCCGCCGGATCTGCGGGTGGCCGTGACCGCGGCGCTGAACGCGCGCCGCGGCGGCGACGCGCCGCCGCCGCTCCCGCCCAAGCCGCTCCCGCCCAAGCCCCTCGTCAAGTCGCCGCCGCCGCCGCCCATGCCGCCGGCCCTGCCGCCGCGGCCCGCGGCGCCGCAGCTGCCGTCGCTCTTCGGCGCGGGCCTCCGGCCGCCCGCGCCGGGGCCGCCGCCGCCGGCCGCGACGCCGCCGGCCGCGATGCCGCCGGCGATGCCGCCGGCGATGCCGGGCGCGCTGCCGCCGCCGCCGAGCCTGCCGGCGCCGGCGATGCCTCCGGCGATGCCGCCGGCGATGCCTCCGGCGATGCCGCCGGCGCCGCCGCCCGCGGCCGCGCCGCCGACGCCGCCCGCGTCGACGGCGGACAACGGCACGGGGAGCGCGAGCGTGTAAGAGACTAGGGCGACGCTTAAGTGTGGCGTGGGGCGATCGAGCTCTGCGATGTCGATATCGATTCACGACTTGGCTAAGTCGAGGGTGCGCGGTCTGCATCTTCGCAGCACAGGTATGCCTCAAAGATGGAGCTGATCTGTTCGAAGAACGCTTCCTGATCTGCTGCTGATGAAGATGTTCGAAGAACCCCGCATTCCCATCGTGCCGTCATGATCTCATACGGCGTGAAGGAATATGTGCGCGACTGCATAGTCTTCTGCGACTTCTGCATCAGGAGCTCAGGTTGGTTTTCGCAGACAATTTTGGCGGTAGCGACGCATGTCTCAACGGAAAGATGACTGCTTGATGAAAACATGAGGTGATGGAGAATATTAGACCCATACCCAACAGGCCCGCGCTCTCGGTACCAGGATCTCAGCCCGCTTTCATATAAGAGCCGTATCACGTCAACCGTGCTGCCCAGGAGGTATGGATTATTTCGGTCAAAAGCCTGCATAAACGCGTCCCGGTCTCCATCGGAGCGATCAGGAGAACGGGCGCCAGAATCGAGAAGGGAACGAATGACAGAGATGTCTTGAAACTCGCATGCGATTTCGAGCGGTGTGTACGGTATGTATGTTGCAATCGGGCAACTTTTCGGCACGACAGAAACTTTGTTGGGATCTGCACCGCGAGCGAGCAGCTCTGGGATGATGTAAGCTGGAAGATTTGGAAATCGCAGCGCGTAAATCAGGGCGTAGTCCGCCGGCAGCCGGAAAAGCAATGAACGGAACGGATCTTGATGGAACAAGTGATTTTTTACGGTCACGATGTCGAAATACTGGAGTTGGCCAAGCACGGATCGGGTCAGCGACTCGCAGCTTTGAGACCACTGGGTCATGTCCGCATCGGCGGAAAAGCGTACGACCAAAGCGCGGAGATGTCGCAGACTTTCAAGAGGCCGAGCGAGCTGCGCCATCACACTCGCGGAGTTTACGATCACAGACAAGTCTTCACATAGGAGTAATTGCTTCACCATCGGCGCTGCCCGAGCGTTGAATCTCATATTTAAAACACAGCGGACGTAACCCAGCGCCTTTCGGCCCGCACGATCCGTCGTCATCGCACTGAGCGCATCTGAGAACTGGAGGTGATCGAGGATGATGCCGTGGATCGGCGGTGGGAGGCGGCGCATCATCTTCTGCGACGAGCGGCGCGCGCGCGCCGCACAACACCTACAAATGCGCTGTGGCAGATCTCGCGCCGCTCAGCCGCTCGCCGAGAGACCCGAGCGCACCCTCGCGAGACGATCGCACGCCCCCCCGTCAATTCTCGACGACTAACGCGCCCATAAATCCCATCACAATCGCTCGCATGGAGCCGCCCACCTGGCAGGAGAAACAGAGAGAGTACGAGGCCAAGAAGGCCCGGGCGAAAGCGCTCCGGCTCCGGCTCACCTGCACCATCTGCGGAGCGAGACCAAAGACCTTGCTGAACTGCCCCTGTGGCACCACGCAGTATTGCTCGACTGAATGCCAAAGAATTGACTGGCGCGACCGGGGGCATCGCAAGGCGTGCAAAACGATTCGCGCCGAGCGCGCGGCGGAGGCCGCGCGGGCGGAAGCGCCGACCCCGCCGTCGCCCCCGGAGGTCGTCTACGGCCCAGCGCCGCGGTCGCACGCCGACGAGATCCGCGCGCGCATTACCGCCGAGCACGAAGCCGCACGCGCGCGGCGCGAGGCGAACCCGGAGCCGGAACCGGCGTCGGCGCGGTTCGGGGGTTGTTGCCCGATCTGCTTGGAGAAGTGGAACGTGAATCTTGAGACCATGCTACGCACCTGTTGCTGCCGGCTGATTTGCATGTCGTGCGAAAAAAAGATTGGGACCTATGACCCGTGTCCTCTCTGTCGAATGCCAGCCTCGCAATCGCCGCAGGAGGAACTGGCTCGAATTCGCCGCCACGTGGAAAACGAGGTCCCCGAAGCGATTAATTATCTGGGGGCATGTTATCGCGACGGTGATGAAGATCTTGGCATTCCAAAAAACTGCAAGAAAGCCGCGAAGCTATGCAAGCGCGCCGTGGAGCTCGGAAATGTGGATGCGATGCGGGATCTTGGCGTCATGTACAGCCTCGGGCAAGGTGTCAAAATAGATTTGAAGAAGGCGATGCAGCTGGATCGTATGGCTATAGACCGGGGCGACGTGATAGCGAGTTACAACCTTGGATGTTGTCTTCGTGAGAACGGAGATTTCGACGCGGCTTTCCGATGCTTCCGAGCAGCCGCAGATCAGGGTTATAGGTGCGCGATGGTGAACGTCGGGAATTGTTACTCTGGAGGCTCAGGAGTGCAAGTCGACCTCGACGAGGCCATGCGCTGGTACGAGCGCGCCATCGCCAAAGGCGACGAAACCGCCAGAATAATGCGCAACCGGCTGAGGGACCATCGCAGTGCCCTCGATCGGAAAGCAGCGGGAGACTTGCCGAACCCTTCCTTCACCCCACCTTAGACGATCAGGGCAAGGCCCTGTAGACGGTCGCAACTAAAATGACAACTAACACCACTCGCTCCAAAACCAGCACCCCTACTCCACGGCCTGCGCGCGCTGCTCGTCCCAGAGCAGGCGGCCCATGGTGTCCTCGGGCGCGCGGCGCTTCGGGTCGCGGGACTCGTCGGGCACCTGGACCGTCACGGGCTTCTTCGAGTCCTCGCGGAAGTCGACGCGCGTGATCAGGCGGACCGTGCGGCCGCACCGCAGCGGGAGCGCCTCGCTGCCGTCGGAAAGGACGAACTTCCGCCCCTCCGGCGACGCGCGGACGGCCAACACGGCGTCGTGCGCGACCTGGCGCGCGCGGTCCAGGTTCCGGATCACGCGGTGCGGGTAGCAACCCGTCCCGTCGGGCCGCAGCCCGAGCGCCGCGTGCGCGCGGGGCCGGTCCGCGCCGCAGTGCACGAGCTGGACGCGCGCGCCGGCCAGGAGCGACGCCGGCGCGCGCCAGGGCTGGTGGATGTGGTCCCGGGGCAGCGCCGCGAGCTCCGGGCACCAGCGCCGCACGTAGTCGCCCTCCGGGTCGCAGTTCTTCGCCGCGTGCACCGGGTGCATGACGAAGTTCCACTGGTCCATGCCGGACCGCCCGCCGTTCTGCCACATGAACGCGTTGATCGCCGCGTCCGCGTCCACCAGCGTGTCGTGGAACCAGGCCTCGCCGTGGCGCCAGTCGAGGTGGAGGTGCTCGACTAAAAAGGACGCGACGACGTGGCGCACGTAGTTGGGCATCCAGCCCCAGACCCACAGCTGGCGCATCGCCGCGTCGACGAGTGGAAAGCCCGTGAGCCCGAGCTGCCAGGCCCGTAATTTCGAGCAGGCGTCGCCGGCGTCGCAGGCCGCGGCCGCGTCGGCCCAGGCCTGCTTTTCGTACTGGGGCCGCAGCGGCGCGTCGCAGAGCGTCGGGAAGTACCACAGACTCCAGTAGGCGAGGTCGCGCCAGGCGAAGCGGCGCAGGAAGGTCGACAGGGACCGGGGCGCGCGCTTGCCGTCGCCGCGGTCCAACGCCTTCGACACCTCCGCGACGACGCGTCGCGGCGACAGCTCGCCGAAGCGGACGTGCGGCGAGATCAGGGCGCCCGTGAGATCGAGATCCGCGCGGAACCGCGTCTTCTCCTCGTCGGCGAAGCACTTGACCGCGCCCGCGGCGAAGCGCGCCAGCGCCGCCCGGCCGCCGCGCTCGCCGATCGTCCACGCCGCGTCGACGCCGCCGTGCCAGTCCCGGGGCTCCGCGGCCGCGCCTTTCCGCGCGGGCACGCGCGCGAGGCCCAACGCGGCGACGGCGCGGGGCCCCGCGGGCACGGCCGCGAGCGCCGCGGCGAGCGCGCCGCGCGGCGGCGCCGCGGTCCGCCGCCGCGGCGCGTCGCGCGGCTCCGGCGACGGGCCGAGGCGCGCGACCGCGGACCGCCACCAGCCCACGGAGCCGAAGCCGCCCTTCGTCGCCGTCTCCACGGGCCGCGCGGCCCAGGGCTCGTGGAGCACGGACGCGCGGAACGTGCGCACGCGCGACACGGGCGCCGCGGCCGCGCGGACCGCGACGTCGCGCGCCACGTGGGCCGGCGCGCACGCCCGACAAAACAGCAGCTCGACGTCGCCCGCCGCCGCCGCGAGCTCGCTCAACAGGGACGCCAGCGCCGCCGCCGTCGTCGTTTGCCGCGCGTCGAGCACGCGGAGCTCGAGGCCGAGGTCCGCGGAGAGGTCCGCGGCCAAACTCTTCAGCGACCGGTCGAGCCACAGCCTCGCGGCGCCGCGCACGGGCCAGCCGCCGTCCTCGCCGTCGGGCCCGAGCACGAAGACGGGCACGACGCACGCGTCGGGCTCCTCGCAGGCCGCCGCGAGCGCGTCCTGGTCGTCGAGGCGCAGGTCGCCGACGCGGAACCAGACGACGCGCAGCGACGCCGCCGAGGACCGCCGCGGCCCGCGGACCTTGGCGGGCCTCGCGACGCGCTTGCAGAGCGGGCACGAGTCGCGGCTCTCGAGCCAGGCGTCGATGCAGGGCGCGTGGAACGCGTGCTTGCAGCGCAGCGCGACGCAGTTCGACCCGAGCGGCTCGAAACAAATGGAGCACGTCGCGTCGCGCGCGGGCGCCGCGCCGCGCCACGTGTCGTCGAGGGGCGGCGCGGCCTCCGCGGCCGCGCGCCGCTCCTCGCCGGGCCGCGGCGGCCAGCAGAGGCCGCGGATCACGGCGGGCACGGGGATGGAGGATTGGTCGCCGAGCGTGATCTCGCCCGCGTCCGCCGCGCCGGGCCGCGCCCGGCGCACCGGCGCCGCGTCGCCGAAGAAGAAGGCCGCGTCGTCGTCAATTGCGCCGCCGGCGACGGCGACGGCGACGCGGTCGTCCACCGGCGGCTGCGGCCGTCGCGCGCCGCGCCGCTTGCTGCGCGCAGGGGTTGTCGTGCTCCGCGTCGCGCGCGCGCTGCCGCCGCCGACCTCGTCCCAGGCGTGCTGCACGCGGCCCATTGCTGAAGGCGCAGGCGTGCGGTCGATAGGCGTGCTGTTCCAGGTGCGCTGTCTCAGCGGAGCACCGAGTCAGATTTCCACCGCCGCGTCACTTCACTGAGACTTCACCGTGGCGGCATGCACGAGGCTGCGCGGATGAACGCGCCGTGCAGAAGTTCCCTGTGCGTTCCCCCCTACGCGCCGCGGCGCGCTGACGGAGACGCGCAGCGGCATGAAACGCGACTGGTGGGCTTAATCCGCGGGCCGCGGGCGGCGGCCCCGGGCGCGCTTCTCCGCGCGCACTTCGCTGAGCCAGCGCGCCACGCGCGCGGACGCCGACACGTCGCGCCCCGGCGCCGCGGCGAGGGCCGCGTCGAGGTCCGCGACGGCCGCGCGCGCGGCCCCGTCGCGGAACGCGGGCGCGTAGCGTTCGTCCGGCGCCACGGCGCCCCGGGGCCGCTTCGGCGACGGGCAGAGCCTGCCGGAGAAGGCCTCCTGGTGGTGGCGCGGCAGGGGCACCTTCTGGTTGAGCGCCGCGACCGCGCGCTCGAGCAGCGAGCACTGCGGGTCCGCCTGCGGGTCCTCGCGGCACGCGGCGGTCGCGGCGCGCTTCGCCGCCGCGAAGACCTCGAGGTGTCTGGCGTCGGTGCCGCGCGCGTCGAGGGCGTCGTTCGCCGCTCGCACGAGGGCGACGTCGTTGGGCTGCGTCGCTCGGAGGCACGCGGCGGCCCCGTCGTCGAGGCTCGACGGCAGCGCGTCCCGGTCCTTCGATCGATGTCGCGTGTCGCCGACGACCTTCCAGGAGTCCTGCTTGACGCGCCGCTGGTAGACGCCGTGGACGATGTCGCCGCCGTCGAAGCCGTAGTCCCGCGCGAGCCAGAGCAGCGACTCGTCGTAGCGTTCGTTCACGACCGCGAAGACGGACCCCTCCCTCACGGACTCCACCAGCTCCTCGAGGCGCTTCGGCTTGGGCTCGCGCCGGTCCTGGTGCGTGAGGCCGACGAGCGCGCGGGTCATGCCGTCGAGCGACACGTGCGTCGACCGGCGCACGCGCTCGAGCGCGAGGAGCTGCGGATCCGCGGAGACGTTGCCGCAGTAGTCGCCCGGCGTGAGTCCGTACACCCCCATGCCCCAGCCCTCCGCGCGGCCCTGGACGACGGCGCGCGACGTGAAGACGGCCCAGGCGGATTCGAAGCGCCGCTCCGGCGCGCGGACGACCGTGAGGATCCGCGCCTTCGCGAGCGGCACGGCTCGCTCGAGCTCGCGGATGAAGGCCACGTGGTGGAGCCAGATGTCCAGCGGCCAGGCGCCCGTGTTGCTCGGCGGCTCGCCGCCCCGGGCCTTCACGTCGAGCTCCGTGAGCGACCGCGGGTTGAAGGACGCCACGAGGTGCGTGCAGAGCACCGTCCGGTTCCTGTTCACGGCGTGGCGCACGAGCAGGTTCTGCAGCGTCGTCCCGCCGACGCGGTGCAGCTTCACGAAGGCGATCGGCGTCGACGCGCGGGCGACCGCCGCGGCGAGGAGCAGGGCTGCCGCGCGCGCCGACGGCATCGCGCGCGGGCGGCAGCCTTGTGTTATGCCGTTCATTTGCCGTTCAAGGTGCCGCGGGCTGCTCTACCGTAGGCTCGGTGCGATGCCGAGATCGTCTCGATCCGCGCAGCTCGACGCCGAGGCCGTGCGAGAGGCCTGCGATTGGATCAATGCGCTCGTGGACGACGCGGCCCTCGAGCCTGATTCCTTCGCCGCCGGGCTCAAGTCCGGCGCCAGCCTCTGCAAGCTCATCAACGCCATCAAGCCGGCGACCATCAAAAAGATCTCCACGAGCGCCCTCAAATTCAACGAGATGGACAACATCACGGCGTTCCTGCGCGCGGCCAAGGCGCTCGGCGTGCCGGAGCGGGACCTCTTCGATACGATCGACCTCCACGAGGAGAAGGACCTCGTCGCCGTCGTCCAGACCGTGCACGCGCTGGGGCGGACCGTGCAGACGGCGATGCCCGACTCGGCGCTGCCGGTGCTCGGACCCAGGCTCGCGACGGCGAACCGGAGGTCGTTCACGGAGGCGCAGCTCCGCGCCGGCCTCAACGAGATGACGTTCCAAACGAAAGGCGCGGACATCGAGCGGCTCGCCGTCGACGAGAGCGCCTCCATCACCTTCGGCAACGCCAAATCCGGCGCGGGCGACGCGACCGTCGCCTCGAAGCAGACCGCGGGCGCGACCATCGAACGACTCGCCGTCGACGAATCGATGAGCATCACCTTCGGCAACGCCAAATCCGGCGCGGGCGACGCGACCGTCGCCTCGAAGCAGACCGCGGGCGCGACCATCGAACGACTCGCCGTCGACGAGAGCGCCTCCATCACCTTCGGCTCGGACCGGGGCGAGCGCCGCCCGCCGCCCGCGCCGCCGCGGCCGGGCTCCATGGGCGCGAGCGCGGGGTCCTAAAAAAAAGCCAGAATTACGCCGCCGCCTTGCGGAAGATGAAGCCCGGGTTGAGGTCCTTGGACGCGGCGATGAGCTGGTGGAGGAAGCCGTCGATGAGGAGCACGAGCCGCGCGTCCGGGCTCGCGTCGACGTTGCCGTCCGCGTCGAGGGGCCCGACGACGACGGCCCAGCGGTTGCCGCGCATGCCCTGCCAGGAGACGTCGTAGATGTACTGGCTCCGCGCGCGGACGTTGAGCTTCATGCCGACGTACTTGAGCCGGAGCGCGGGCTCGATCTTGTCGAACTCGCGGCTGCTGTGCGTGTCCGGGATGTGGAGCCCGTCGACCTCGTAGGGCTCGAGGTAGTTGGCGAACTCGTAGCCCGCCTGGGGGCAGGCGCCCTCCGCGCCGAGCCGCCGGCGCAGCCGCGCGGGCCGCGTGTGCTGGCGGCAGCCCGTCGGCAGGTGCGCGTACTCCCCGACCAAGACGGGCGGCAGGTCGTCCCAGTTCGTCACGAAGGACTCGAGGAGCGTGTGGTCGTGCTGCTTCACGGGCAGGCCCTTGCTGTGGACGACGTCCTCGAAGGCCGCCAGGTCCAGGAAGCCCGCGAGCTTGTCCAGGATCTCCACGCGGTGCGCCGGCATGCACAGGTTCTCCTCGTAGTTGATCTTCAGCACGCGCGGCGCTTTTTCGCCCAGCCGGTCCGCCGCCCGCGCCGCCTCGTCGGCGAAGGCGACCTCGCGGTGGCGCCAGGACTCGAAGTTGCCGACGTCGAGCGCGACGGGCTCCGTCCGCCGCCGCCGTTCGTCGTGCTGGACCCAGTCGTTGTTCCTCTGCGCGACGCAGATGGACACGTACTGGGCGAGCATGTGCGTCCGCTGGAGGACGACGACGTGGCTCGCCCAGTCGAAAAAGGCCGGCAGCTTCTGCCACTCGAGGTGCTCGCTGAAGAGCTTGAAGCCCACGACCTTGCGGCCTAAACTGTGCGACGCGACGAAGTCGAGCAGGACGCGCGGCGTCGCGTGGCGCTTATTGAACACGTCGTCGCCGACCTTGAGCCCGCCGTCGAAGCCGTCCTTCTCGCTCTTTCGCAGGTCGTTCTCGTGGAAGATCTCGCCGTGCATCAAAATGTCCGCGTGGCGCCGCAGGGTCTCGATGAGCAGCGACGAGCCCGTGCGCGCACCGGACAGGACGATGAGCCGCATGGCCGCGTCGCTCGGCTCCTGCTGGAGCCGGCGCGACGGCGCATCCGACGCCGCGCAGACCGCGACGGCGAGGGCTGCCCAGCGGCGCACCATCGTTGTGTCGATTTTATAACTTCAAGAACCGTCTCGCATTTAAGAGGACGCCTAGCCGAGGGCGACGTCGAGGGTCATCATGAGGCCGAAGCCGAAGAGGAAGGAGAGCGTCTGCTGCTTGTTCCCCGTCGTCGAGTGCGCGCCCTCGAGGGACTCCGGGATGAGCTGGTCGACGACGACGTAGATCATGGCGCCCGCGGCGAAGGCGAGGGCGTAGGGGAGCACGGGCGTGACGACGAGCACGAGGGCCGCGCCGAGGACGCCGCCGACGGGCTCGACGACGCCGCTGAGCTGGCCGAAGAGGAACGCGCGCGACGCTGGCATGCCGCTCCGTCGGAGCGGCATCGACACCGCGAGGCCCTCGGGGAAGTTCTGGAGGCCGATGCCCAGCGCGAGGTTCAGCGCCTTGGCGCGCGACGCGCCCGGCAGGTCCGCCGCGGCGCCGCCGAAGCCCACGCCCACGGCGAGGCCCTCGGGGAAGTTGTGGAGCGTGATCGCGAAGACGAGTAAGGCGACCGCGCGCTTCTGCGACGCGGCCTTGCGCCCCGCGTCGTCATCATCATAATCGTCGAAGGACGGCGTCGACGCGCCGCCGCGCTCGAGGAACGACGACGACCGCTGCGGGCCCCGCCGCCGCGCGGGGCCGCCGTCGGCGCGCGGCGGCGAGCCGCTCCAGCCGCCGTCGCTCTTCTTGCCGCCGTGGCGCGGGCTGCCGCCGCTCAACAGCTTGGTCTGCATGAGCTCCAGCGGGTCTAGGGACCCGTGGCGCTCCATGTACTGGTCGCACGCGAGCATGCAACAGCAGCCGACGGCGAAGCCGACGGTCACGGGGAGGAAGGCCCAGCCGCTCCCGTACCTCGCCTGCGACATCTCCAGCGCCGGCGCGAGCAGGCTGAAGAAGCTCGCCGACGTCATGACGCCGCCGGCGAAGCCCAGCATGGGCTGCAATATCTGCCGCTGCGTCTTCTCGTCGCTCGGCAGGATGAAGACGAGCGCCGCGCCGCAGGCCGTGACGAACCACGTGAAGCAGGTCGCCAGGAAGGCGTCGAAGGCGGCGCGCAGGAGGCCCATCCTGGACCTTCCTGGGTAGGTTACGTGCTTCTACCGGCTCCTAAAAACGCCATAAATTTGGCCATTGCGCACGGACTGGCTCCACCGTCGCACCGACGTCTCCACCGACTTTGTTGAGGCGCGCCGCGCAGGGACGCCTCCCGGGGAACGCCTCGGGGACGCCTCCGGGGTCGAGGTCGACGAACTTGTCGACGACGACGCACGAAGGATGCAGTCGCTCCGATCCGCTAGTAGTACGCCTTAGTCCGCCGGCTCGTGTCCGCCGCGCGGTTCGTCGCGCGGACGATGGCCCTCGCCTGCTTGAGGTAGGTGGCCTCGCGCGCCTCGATGGCCGCGGCGACGTGGAGCAGGCCCTTGCGCCGCGCCCAGTCCGCGGCGGTCTTGGGCCCGCGGCCGCCGCAGGAGGAGCTCTGGGGCGGCTCGCCGGCGACGCCGAGGTGGGGCCCGTCGACGCCCGGCGCGCGCAGGAGCACGTCGACGACGGCCGCGCGGCCCGCCCAGGCCGCGACGATGAGCGGCGTGCAGCCGAGGGCGTCGGCCTCCGTCGCCGACGCGCCGCAGTCGAGGAGCGCGCGCACGCACCGCACGCGGCCGCGCCACGCCGCGAGAAAAAGTAAAGAACGCTCGGCGAAGAACGCGAGTCTATGAGTTGCGAGTTTCCGATCCTCGCCGAGCGCTTTGCGAAGCCGCGCCGCGCCGTCGGCCTTGTGCAGCGCCATCCAAAACCTCCAGACGGTGCGGTCGCGCTGCATTCTCTCGGCTTCTCTCTGCCGCCGTTCGGCGCTGAGCAGCGCGGCGAAGGGGTCGCCGGTCTTGGCGCGCGTGACGCGGCCGCCCCGCGGGAGGACGAGCTGGAGATGCTGGGCGACGGGCACGGCCAAGTCGTTCGTGACGACGCCCGCGGAGCAGGTCAGGCGCAGGACCAAACATTCTGCGACCGATGTGTCGCTCACGTAGGCGCAGATGTGCGCGAGCGTCTCGCCGGGGAGCTGGAACACGCGGTGGGCTGGGGCAGCGTCCATGCCGCTGGGCCTCGCGGCTGCGCTGGTGCGAACGGCGCCGCGGCACGTCCTTCGGAGGCGCCCAGAGCTTGGCGGCTTTTTAGTGGGAAATTGCGAGGCCTTCAAGGTATCCAATTGTTGCCGCCCGCAAATTGGTGCCTGCCCCGGCTTTCGAATTGCATTCCGCCGGCCGCGCCGCCCCGGACGCGCGATGGCCCTCGCGGCGGCGCTTGCGTCGGCCCTGACGGAGGCGCGGGCGACGATGGCGGCGTCCGTCGTCCACGAGGAGAACTTTTTCGACGACGCGTTCCAGCAAAACGGCGCCGTGCGGCGGCCGAGCGTCATCGACGCGACCCCGAAGCGGCCGCTCGTCTTCCGGCCCGTGGAGCGGCGCGAGGCCGCGACGCCGCCGCCGCCGGACCCGGCGCCGCCGCGGCCCGCGGTCCGCGCGCCGGACCCGCCGCCGGACCCGGCGCCGCCCGCGGCCGCGGCCGCGGCGCCGCCCGCGGCGCCGGCGCCGCGCGCGGCGCCGGCGACGCCCGCGCGCGCGGCGCCGAAGCCGATCCTCGACGCGGACCTGTCGGCGGCCGCGGCGCCGCGGCGCGACGACAGCGACGACTCCTGCGGCGAGGCGCCGCGCGCCGCGAGCCGGCCCGCGCCGCGGCCGAGCCCGCCGCCGGCGCGGCCCGAGCGGCCCGCCGCGCGCGCCGCGCCGGCGCCGGGCGGCCGCGCGGCGCTCATCGTCGGCGAGGCCGTGTCCGTCGCCGCGCGCCGCGCGCTCTACGCCGCCGTGGAGACCATGGAGCGGCGCTGCGACCGCGTCGAGCGGCGCTTGGAGGCGCGGCTCGACGCGCTCGAGGCGCGGTGCTCCGCGGCGCTCGGCGGCGTCGCCGACCTGCTCCAGGCCCGCGAGCCGACGGAGGTCTGCCTCCGGGCGGCCCAGCGCGCCCAGGCCAAGGCCGAGGCCGCCGCGGCCGACGCGCTGAGCGCGAGCCGCCGCGCGGAGCGGTGCGCCGCCGGGTCGAAGGTCCCCGGCAGCCGCGAGGCGAGCGGCGACAACGACCCGGAGCTCCTCGGCGACGTCGCGCGCTTCCGCCAGTCCGAGGCGCTCGAGGCCGTGCCCGAGCCGCGGCCCGCGAGCGCCGCCGCGGCGCCGCCGGCGACTAGTACCGCGGGCGCCGCCGCCGACGCGCGGACGCCCGCGAAGCGCGCCGCGAAACCCGCGAAGACGCCGACGCGATCGTTGAGCAAGCGGCTCTCGTCGATCTCGCCCATGCGCCGGCGGCGGCCGTCGGAGGCGCCCCACGAGGACGCGCTCTCGTCCGCGGCGAAGGCGCACGCGGCGTTCGTCGCCGAGGCCGCGACGCCGCCGCCGCCGAAGAAGCCGCTGCGCGTGCCCGCGGACTACGAGTCCATCCAGGCCGCCCTCGACGCCGCGCCGACGCACGGTTTGGTGCTCGTGGCGCCGGGCCACTACTTTGAAGCGCTCGTCGTCGCGCGCGCCGTCGAGATCGAGGCCGAGGGCTACGCGCCCCTCGCGGCGGACTTGGACGATCTCGCGCCCCGCGTCGTCGTCGAGGCGCCGAGCCCGGGCCACCGCGCGTTGCTCGTGACGGCCGCGGGCGCCTGCGACGCGCGGGGTCTGGCGCTCCGGTGCTGCGAGCGGTCCCGGTCCGCGTCGCCGTCGGGCGAGTCGTCCTCCAAGCAGCGGCCCTGCGCGGCCGTCGGCGTCAAGGGCGGCGAGCTCGCGCTGGCGGGCTGCGTCGTCGGCTCCGCGTCGGCGCTGAGCGGCGTCAACGCGCAGCGCGGCGCGACGCTGAAGCTGCGGGACGTCCGGGGCGCCGCGTGCCGCCACACGGGCGTGCTCCTGAGCGGCGACCGGACGACGGCGACGCTGGAGCGCTGCGCGCTGGACGGTAACGGCGCCCACGGGCTGGAGGTCCAGGACGGCGCGCGCGTGGAGCGCGCGCGCGACGTCGTCTGCCGGCGGAACGCGCTCTTCGGCCTTTTTCTGTCCGACGCGGACTCCTTCGCGGACCTCGCGCGCTGCGACCTCGGGGGCAACGCGCGCTGCGGCGTCTGGGTCCAGTCCGGCGCGACGGCGCGCCTGGCCGACTCGACGCTCGCGAACAACGCGGAGCACTGCGTCGCGCTCTCGGAGCCGTCCTCCGCCGCGCACCTGACGCGGTGCGAGCTCGCGGGCAAAGACGACCACCTCGCCTGCTTCAACGGCGCCGTCTTCGCGAACTTGGACGCGAAGGACTGCTGCTACGAGACGCTAAACGGGCGGTGAAGCGTCGGGGTGCCGAGGGGGTGGCAGGCCGGGAGCCGGAGTGGCGGCGAGCGGCGGCGCCGGTGTAGGCTCGGTGTCGAACCCCGGCGCTCGAGCTTTGTGGAGACGGCCATCGACTGGAGCCGCAGCTCCGCCGCGCTCGTCGACGCCGACCTGCGCGAATTCTCGACCCCGCCGCTCACCCGCTGCGACGCTCGATCTGCGCGGTCGTACGGACGATGTCGGACCTTAACGGTCTGCTCTCGGAGGCGCCCGCGGTGAGTTTTTCGCCGCGAAGCGCTTCCTCTCGCGTCGCCTCACCCTCGCGCCGCCGCAGGTCATGAACGGGAAGGACGCGGACGCGAAGACGGCGCACGCCACGAAGGTGCCGCGGCGGCGTCGCTCCCGCGGCGCGCGGTCGTTCGTTTTCGCGCGCGCGCGCCCGTTCCCGACGCGCGCGCCCGCGCGCGGGCCTGCGCCCCGACGCGCGCGCCCGCAGGTCTTCGCGTCCATCGCGCGCATCGACGACAAGCAGATCGACGCGACGGTCGACAAGATGGAGCAGGAGCCCGCGGACATCCTCCTCAAGTACGTCTACCGCGGCCTCGAGGAGCCGACGGACAACAACGCGTCGCTCTTCAAATGGCAGGCGAAGATCCTCGACAAGTTCGGCATCGGCTCCGTCGTCCGCGTCCTCACGGACAGGAAGACGGTGTGAGTGATCCCCCGCGCGCACCGCTGTCGTAAACGTCGAGCTGTTCCCCGGCGTGTTACCCGGGGCTGTGGGTTGTCTTCGGGGAGGAGGGCCGGGGATGTGGGCCGGGGAGACGCCGCCGGCCGGGAGGGCCGCGCCGCCTCAGATGAGGCCGGCCGCGGACGCGAGGGAGACGGCGTACCAGAAGGCGAAGAAGGCGCCGAGGACCCGCGCGGCGCCGTAGCTCGTCGTGAGGCCGCGGAGGCTGTCGACGTCCGGCGGGCGCGTCGCGAGGTAGGCGTGGTACCCGAGGCCCGCGGCCGCGAAGAGCAAGTAGCAGGTTGGTTGGTCCGTGACGCCGTAGAAGCCGGCGCCGAGGCTCAGGACGTACTGCCAGAGGATGCACGGCACGAGCTGGAGGCCCAGCGTGACGGGCTTGTCGCCGAGGACGGACGGTTGCTCCCAGAGCTTCTGCCGCGTGCAGGACGCGCCGACGAGGGCGACGCAGGCGTAGGTCAGGCGCATGGCGTTGCGGAGCGCGATGCGGTCGTCGGCGACGCGGCGCGGCGCCACGTCGACGAAGATGCCGAGCACGTAGGCGCTGACCAGCGCGGCGACGAACAGGGGCGCGAAGAGGTGGCGGCAGACGACGCGGAAGGGCACGCCCGCGTCGCGCAGCTTGCGGTAGAAGACGCGGCAGTTGTCGCGCATGAACGCGTCGAGCCACTCGAGCGGGACGACGAGCAACCCGTCGAGGAACCCGACGGGGTCGGCCATCGTCTGCACGCCGACGAGTACCAAGGCCCAGTAGGGCTCGACGACCGTGAAGGCGACGCCCGCGGCGACGATGGCGACGACGGAGCCCGCGGACACCATCATCAAATCCCCCGGCGAGAAGGCGACGACCATGGTTGCGGAGCGGCGCGCGAAGTGCAGCGGCGCGTCAAGTGCTATGTGGCGCGGCGCTTAGAGAGCTGCGCGGCGCGAGAGAGCGACGCTTTGACGGGGTGGCTGCGAGGCGCGACGGCGCGAGGGGCCTCTTCGATGACACTGAGACCTCGAGCTTGTTTTGTGGCGATTCAATGTTGCCGTCAATCAACCAACTTGCCCTCGAGAATCGGATTTGGCAGCCCCGACGCCGCCATCCTCGCCGCCGCCAGCAGCTCCGGCAGCTATCCTCGTCGACGCGATTCGGCGCCGCGCGGCCCGCCATCCTCGTCGCCCGCATCCCTGGGCGGCCGCCGAAGCGATGGGCGCCCACGAGCGGGCCCTCGTGCTCCTCCTCTTCAGCGCCGCGTCGACGGGCCTCATCTACGTCTCCTCGGTCTACTCGCAGGCGCTCAAGGACACGCTGGACCTCTCCCAGGACGACATCGAGACCATCAGCCTGTCCTGCTACCTCGGCGGCCTCTTCGGCTTTTTGCCCGGGCGCGTCTCCGACGTCATGGGCACGCGACGGACCATATGCTTCGGCGGCGGCGCGCAGGGGCTGCTCCTCTTCGTCTTCTGGCTCGTGGCCAAGAAGCTCGTCGTCGTCCCCGCGCCGCTCCCGCTGCTCTGCGTGCTGACGTTCCTCCAGTACCTCTCCTCGGGCTGCACGGTCGCCGCGGTCTTCTCGGCGCTGAGCCGCCTCTACGGCGAGAACCGCGGCGTCGTCGTCGGCATGGGGAAGGCCTACGTCGGCATGGTCGGCGCCATCGTCACGCAAATATACCACGGCGTCGTGCCGTCGGCCTCGGACGGCGCGGCCGTCGACTTCATCTTGGTGACCGGTCTGGCGTCGCTGGCCCTCTGCTGGATCCCCGCGCTGCTGCTGGACGCGGACGAACTCCGGGAGCCCCACGGCGGCGGGCCCGCGGCGGCGCGCGTCGGCGTCGTCCTCGCGGTCGTCGTCGCGACGATCGCCTGCTGCACGACGTCGGCGCTCGCGGACCCGCGCGGCGCCGCGCGATCGGCGCTCGCGGCCGCCGTCGGCGCGCTCCTCTTCGCGCCGGCGCTCACGCTGCTATTACCGGACGACAAGGCGCCGCCGCCCCTGGGCGACGCGCTCTGCGCGCCGGCGAAGCACCCGCGCGGCATGCGCACGGCGGAGATGCTGCGGACCGTGGAGGCGTGGCTGCTGCTCTATGTCGTCGTGACCATCGTCGGCACGGGGCTCGTCGTATCCACCAACGGCGCGCAGATGGCCGCGGCCGCGCGCGTCTCCGGCGGCGGCGCGCTCGTCGTGACGCTCTTCTCCGGCGCCCAGGGTCTGAGTAGGCTGGGGGGCGGCGCGGCGACGGACGCGCTGCGGCGGAGGGGCGTTCCTTTACAGGTCGCCTTGGTCGTCGCGGCGCTCCTCGGCGCCGCGGCCCACGGCCTCATGTGGCTGTCCAAGCCGGCGTTCTTCGAGGTCGGCGTCGTCCTCGCGGGCCTCGCCTTCGGCATCGTCTGGCCCTTGATGGTCGTGCTCGTCCGCGACCTCTTCGGCGACGAGCACTTCGGGAGCAACTACATGGTCTACGACGGCGGCTCGTCCTGCGGCGGCGCGCTGCTCTTCGCGAAGTTGTTGGTCGCCGCGTCCTACAACGCGCACAAGGTGCCCCTCGACGACGACGACGCGCCGGGCGACACGTGCGTCGGCGCGAAATGCTTCCCCTACGTCGCGGTCGCGGCGCTGAACCTCGTCGCCGCCGGCGCCGCGCTCCTCCTGAGCTTCGGACCCCTCGCGCCGACGCCGCTCGCCGACCGGCGCGACGACGCCGCGGACGACGCCGCGGGCGACTACGCCGCCGTGCGCCTCGGCGACGAGCCGCCGGGGGACCGCGACGAGGGGGACAAGAAGGTAAACTGAGGACCTTCGAGGCCCGCGGCGCGACCTACGCGTGCCCGCCCTTCGTGCTTGTGCCCCACTCCGCGCTCTGAGGCCGACGCATCCTACTTAAGTTACTCCTTACGCGACGGAGATCGTATGGCCGAACAGAACGACGAGGGCGAACTCGCCCGCGCCGAGGGCCCAGGACGGGAACTGCGCCTTGTCGACGAGGCCCGCGAGGTACGCGAACTGCAGGCCGCCGGTCGCCGCGCAGACGGCGCTGAGCAGCGCCGCGCGCCGCACGCTCGCCGCGTCCTCCGCGAGCAGCCAGGCTAGCAACACCGCCGCGCCGAAGGCCGCGCAGGAGAAGAACGCGTGCGCGGGGAAGTAGTGCGACTCGCGGATCGCGGCGACCGCGACGATGGACACGCCCGACGTCCAGGCCAGCGCGAGCCGCGTCGCGCGCCGCGCCGTGCACCTCTTCGCCTCGAGGTTGATGAGCGCCGCGAGCGCCACGAACCCGATGAGGACGCACACGAAGCTCCGCCGCCAGTGGTCGAGGACCGCGCTAATGTGGGCCTTGGAGGCGTCGAGATCGCCGGAGAGGAAGGCGTCGCCGTAGGCCGACGCCATGAAGGCGACCTGCGTCGCGAGCACGGAATTCGACGCGGCGCTGCTCGGCGGCGCGCGGCGCATGGCTGCGAGAGCAGCCGGTCTTGATGCTCGAAGAGGGGCTGCCGCTTTCTATTCGGTTCTTGAGGGGCAACAACATCTCGCAAATCGGAGTATGGAGGCGGCCGCGATGGTCGGGCAGCCGCCGCAGCCGCGGGATCGGCGGCGAGGCGCCGCCCTGCTCGCAATCGCCACGCTGGCGAGCCTCGGGGTCTTAACGCACCGCAGCGCCGCCGCCGCCGCCCTGCGGACCTACGTCGCCGCCGACGCGCCACGAACGTCGTCGTCGGCCTGCGCGTCGTCCCGGATCCGCGCGGCCCGGGGCCTGCTCGCGAACGCGTCGCTGCCCGCGAGCGCGGCCCTCAAGCCCGCCGCCGAGGTCGACGCCGACGAGACGACCGCGGCCGCGCGCGCGCGGACGAAGATGGCGCTCACGCAGCGCGTGTCGTTCTCGCTCGAGGAGCCCTGCTCGAGTCCATCCCGGTCCATGTCCTACGTCGTCGCCGCGCGCTACACGCCCGCGAACGGCGCGTCGAAGCTGCCGCCGCTCTACGTCGCCACGGGGCGGCGCTTCGCGGCCTGCGGCGACGGGCCGGCGACGCTCTCCGGCGAGCTCAAGCTCGCGCGGCTCCGCGCGGCGACGGTTTATGATGTGGACGTCCTCGTCTACGACCTGGGCACGGGCGCCGCGTCCCTCGAGTGGACCGGGCGCTTCACGTCGGCGTCGACGGGCTGGGCCGCGTTCGACGGCGGGGCCTTCGTCGACGTCGCGGGCGCGACGCCGTCGTGGCGCGTGCTCACGATGGCGGCGCAGCAGGACGCCCTGGGCTTCGACGACCCGGGGAACCTGTCGGCCGCGGCCCGGGGCAAGTCCTTCGACGGCATGCTGGGGGTGGACGGCGAGGGCCACGTCGTCTGGTACTACCACCTCGCGGGCTTCGAGGCCTGGGACTTCCTCGAGAACGGCAACGTGGCCCTCGTCGCGCGGCGCCAGGGCAACCTCGTCGTCCCCGCGAAGCGCATCAACGGCGACGACGTCGACGCCAACGCGAACTCGCAGCTCCAGGAGGTCGACGTTACCGGCGCGCTCGTCAAGCAGCGCGCGTCGTCGTGCGCGGGCGCGCCCCTGGGCTACAACGCGCTGAGCCACGAGTGCCGCGCGGACCGCGCCACGGCCCGGGCCCGCGGCGGCGTCGAAGGGGGCGGCGCCGTGGACGTGCTGTCCGCGCGCTACGGCCTGCGGAGGATCCCGAACGTCACCGTCGTCGCCAAGGGCCTCAACGGCTCGGACGCGCCGACGACGACCAAGGCCGACACCTTCTTCGGCACGCAGATCGTCGCCTGGGACCGCGAGACCGACGACATGGCCGTGCTCTACGACCTCTTCGACCTCGCGCGGCCCGCGCGCGACTCCGTCACGTTCGAGAGCTCGAACTGGAACGCGGTCCGCGGCGGCTGCAGCGGCAACACGACGCTGACGGGCGTCGAGTACCACCACGTGTCGTCCGTCACCGTCGGCGTCGAGTCCAACCTCCTCGCGAGCTCGCGGACGCTGAACACGATCTGGTCGCTCGCGCACGACGGCTCCGGCGCGCGATGGACGCTGTCGTCGTCGCTGGAAGCGGGGCACTGCGCGGACTGCGCCGACGCCGGGGGCGTCTGGTACGCCTTCGAAAAGGACGCGGACCGGTTCTACGACCCCCACGGGGCGCTGCAGCTGCCGAACGGCGACGTCCTGGTCGTCGACGACGGCGACGACCGGCCGGGCTGCGCCGTGGACCGGCGCGGCCAGTGCTTCTCGCGCGTCGTCTGCTACGCCCTCGACGCGGCGGCCAAGGTCGCCCGCGTGCGCTGGCAGTTCGAGTGGCCCTACGGGTTCGCGGACGCGGACGGCGCGGCGCGCTCCGCGATGGACGTCGCGGCGCGCGACGCCTACTCGTCCGTCGGCGGCTCCGTGGCGCCGCTGGCCAACGGCAACTACCTCGTCGCCTTCACGTCCGTCGACGCGCGCTCCGCCGACGACGCGCGCGGGTCCGCGCTCGCGTTCGAGGTCGACGTCGCCGGCGGCGCCGCGGCCGTGTCGAGGCTCGCCGTGCCGACGCCCCTCGCGGACCAGGACAAGCAGGGCGCCTACCGCCTCGTGCCCTGGGACAGCATCGCCGCCGAGACCCACGTCTGCCCCTTCGATAACTCCTAGCGGCGGTCGTTGCTTGTCCGTCGCGGCGCCGCGCTCGGCCCCGCGATGAGTGATCATGCTGGAACGATCTTCGCGGCTTGCGAGAGGCTGCCCCGACCGACAACCCTTGCGCGCGCGCGCCGCACGCTGCCCCGACACCATGCTCGCCTTCCTCCGCAACTGCCTCTTCGGGCCCGACGACCGCCCGAAGCTCCGGCCGCCGCCGCGGAGCGAGGCGGCCCCGTTCACGCTGCTCAACGACAGCACGCACGAGGTGCAGGTCTGGAAGAATGGCAATGGGCCCATCACGCGCGTGGCGCCGCACTCGTCCGCGGTCATCGACGCGGAGCGCCACGGGGGGCTGCGGTTCACGGGCGTCCCGGCGGACGCGTTCGACGCGCGCGTCCTCGACAAGTCGACGGTCGTCGTCGTCGCGCACTGGACGCCGCGCGCGGCTCCCGGCCTCGTCGTCCGCGTCGACGACGCCGACACGAGGCGCGTCGACGCGCTCGTCGCGATCCGCGAGGCGGGCCTGCTGCCGCGGGCCCTCGCGAAGGTCCGCGACCGCATCCGCCGGCGCCACTCCGCGGCGACGGCGCTCGCCGCGCGCGCGCGCGGCCTCGTCGCGCGCGCGCGCGCGCGCTGCCCCTGCTGCCTCGACGACGTGCCCCGCGGCGTCATGGTCAAGCCCGCGCGGTCGTGCCGCGCGGGCCACGACGTCTGCCGGGGCTGCGCTCGCCGCTACCTCCAGACGTCCATCGACGACGGCCGCATGATCCTCAAGTGCCCCGGCGCGGGCTGCGGCGCCACTTTGACGAACCGCGACGTCGACGTGCTCGCGGGCGCGAAGCTCGTGGCGAAGCTGCGGACGCGCGTCGTCGAGGTCCAGCAGCGGCGCCTCGCGGAGCTCGAGGCGGCGAGCGGCGACGACGGCGACTTCGTCGCCTGGGCCTCGAAGGACTGCCGGGCCTGCCCGAACTGCCGCGTGATCATCTTCCGCTACGCGGGCTGCGACCACATGTCCTGCCGCTGCGGCGCGAGCTTCAACTGGAACACGACGGGCCTGAAGGTCGGCGCGGCGCACGCGGCGCCGCTCCGCGGGGCGACGTGGACCTGCGGCTTCTGCACCTTCGAGAACAGCGCGCTCCTCCCGCGCTGCGAGATGTGCCGCCGCGGCCGCCGATCCCGAGATGTGCCGCCCGAGATGGACTGAGAGACCAGGTCTTAGCCCCGGGCGCCCCTAGTCCAACCCGCAGACCCCGAAGTCGCTCCCGCCGCCCTCCTTTTTCCGGTTCTTCTCGCGCCGCTTCATGAAGTCGTCGACGCCGTCGAGTTCGAGGAACTGCTTCTTCGAGATGGGGCAGCCCTTGAGGTCGAGGCGGTCGAGGGTCTTGAGCGCGAGGAGGCTCCGCGGGAGCCCGGCGAGGCCGTTTCGCTCGAGCGACAGGCGCCGGAGCGCGGGCGCGCGCGCCGCGAGCGCGTCGTCGAGGCCGGCGATGGCGTTGCCGTCGGCGACGACCTCGACGAGCGCGGGCCAGAGCGCGCCGTCGAAGAGGAGCAGCGCCGTGAGGCCGCAGTCGGACGCGACGAAGATCCGCAGCCTCGCGAGCTTGGCGAGCGCCGCGGGCCCGCAGCCCGCGCCGAGCGGGTTCTTCGCGCAGCGCAGCTCCTCCAGGGCCGTCGCCGCGGCGAGGCAGGCCTCGAGGCCCGCGGACGTCACGCGGTTCTCCGAGAGGTCGAGCGAGACCAAGGCGCCGCTTAAGGCCGGGAGCGCCGCGAGCCTGTTCCGGTGGAGCTTGCAGGTCCGGAGCTTCGGGAACGCGCCGGCGAAGTCGGGCAGCGCCTCGAGCTTGTTCGCGCTCAGGTCGAGCGTGCGCAGCTTCGACGCCGCGCCGCCGAGCTCCTTGACGACGACGCTCGGCACCTTTTCCAGCTTGTGCTCCGTGAGGCTCAGCACGCCCGTCTTCGCCGCCGCCTCGACCTTTTTCTTGACGACGGAGCTCCCGGTCTTGTTCTTGGGTGCGCTTGACATGCCCGCCATTTTGGCCATGTCATTTCCCATGCTGAACGCCGCGTGGGAGAGCGCGGTCTATCGTCTCAACTCGAGAGCTGACCTCGTTTGGAGTCTCGTTGAAGTCTCGATGCCGTCCCGTAGGCCTCGCCGTACGCGTGCGCAAAGCCCCCCAATCATCCCCCGAAACCACCACCACCGTCGAGTCCAAGGCCGGGCGTTAAATACGACGCCTCCTCACGGCGCTTCGGGCAGGCCGAGGTCGTGGCCCATGCGCGCCTGCTTCGTGCGGAGGTAGGCGACGTTGTCCTCGTTCGGCGTCGTGACCAGGGGGACGCGCGCCGCGACGGCGATGCCGAAGGCCGCGAGGGCGTCGCACTTCGCCGGGTTGTTCGTCAGCAGGCGCACGGCGTCGACGCCGAGGTCGCGGAGCATCGCCGCCGCCGCTCCGTACGTCCGCGCCTCGACGGGCAGCCCCTGGTCCGCGTTGGCCTCGATGGTGTCGCGGCCCCGGTCCTGGAGCGCGTAGGCCCGGAGCTTGGCGCCCAGGCCGATGCCGCGGCCCTCGTGGCCCCGGAGGTAGAGCAAAACGCCGCCGGACGCGCGGACGAGCTCGAGGCTCCGCTGGAGCTGCTCGCCGCAGTCGCAGCGCCGCGAGCCGAAGATGTCGCCCGTGGCGCACTCGCTGTGGACGCGCACGAGGGGCGCGAGGCGTCGCGAGTCCGTCGCCGGCGCGGCGGCGGCCGCGCGGTCGCGCGCGGGCCGCGGAATCCGCGCGCGGTCCGCGGCGGCGCCGGGGCACACGTCGCCCGCGAGGAGCGCGATGTGCTCGACGCCGCTCGCCGGCTCCGCGTAGCAGACCGCGTCGAAGAGGCCGTGGGCCGTGGGCATGCGCGTGACCGCGCCGCGGACGACGGCGGCGGCGGCGCCGTCGGCCGCGCCGGGGTCGCAGGGCGCGCAGCGCGGCGCCGCGGCGCCGAGCGTCGGGGGCCGCGGCGCGGCCACCGCGGGCGGCTGCGCGTACTCGGGTGCGCGGGCGACCGGCGGCTTCGACCGCATCGCCGACGAGGTTGCTGGGGGTGGCGGCGGCTGCGGCGGCGCGGCTGCAGCGACGCGCATGCTGTCGCCCGGTGATTTGCACATAGTGCTCTATGAGGTGCTGGCTACTGCAGTGGTCGCGCTGGCACAGCAGTCTCCGGGCGCGTGGCAGCACGGTGTGGCACCTCACAACCTCTTCAACTACAGTCAGATCGAGACGCTTCAGGTCGCACCCGCGGCGGCGGCGCGCGCGGCGACTTCCTCCCCACACGCCTCTCCCAAAGCCCGGCTAGTCGGAACTTACGGGACTGCGGCGGGGGCGGTCGCTGGCGCGGGGGGTCGGCGCGCGGGCGGGGACGCCGTCCGAAAGAGCGGGGGGAGGTGGCATATCGAGCGAGGTCGGGCGACGTCACGGCGCGCCGGGCGGCGCGTCGTCCTCCGATAGGCCGAGGTCGTGGCCCATGCGCTTCTGCTTCGTGATGAGGTACTTGTAGTTCTCGTCGTTGGGCGTCGTGAGGACGGGCACGCGCTCGACGACGGTGACGCCCAGCTTCTCGAGCTCCTCGGCCTTGGCCGGGTTGTTCGTGAGGAGCTTGACCTCGGAGAGGCCGAGGTCGCGGAGCATGGCCGCCGCGCCGACGTAGTCGCGGCCGTCGACGGCGTGGCCCAGCTCCGTGTTGGCGTCGACGGTGTCGCGGCCCCGGTCCTGGAGGCCGTAGGCCTGGAGCTTCGCGCCGAGGCCGATGCCGCGGCCCTCGTGGCCGCGGAGGTAGAGCAGCACGCCCGCGTCGGCCGCGTGGATGTCGCGCAGCGCCCGCTGGAGCTGCTCGCCGCAGTCGCAGCGCTTGCTCCCGAAGATGTCGCCCGTGGCGCACTCGCTGTGGACGCGCACGAGGGGCACGGGCGGCGCCCCGTCCGTCGCGCCCGCGCGCGCCGACGGCGGCGGCGCCGTCGAGGGCTTTCGTCGCTCGGGCCGGGGGATGTCGCGCCGGTCCGCGTTCGCGAGCTCGCCCAGGTCGCCCTTGAGCAGGGCCACGTGCTCGAGACCGGAAGCGACGTCCGCGAAGACGACCGCGTCGAAGTCGCCGTAGGCCGTCGGCATGCGCGTCATCGTGCCCCGCTCCAACACGAGCGGGTAGGGCTCGGGCTTGGGCAGGTCCGCGTACTCGTCGCGGGCCACGCTCCGGCGGTACTGCTGGATGTCGGCGATGGTCGTGAAGGCCAGGTTGTGCGTCTTCGCGAACTCGCCCAGGTCGTCCCAGCGCGCCATCTCGCCGTCCTCGTCGCGGACGATCTCGCAGAGCGCGCCCGCGGGGGCCAGGCCCGCCAGCCGCGCGAGGTCCACGGACGCCTCCGTGTGGCCCCCGCGCTCGAGCGTGCCCCCGGGCCGCGCGCGCAGCGGGAAGAGGTGGCCCGGCCGGCAGAACCGCTCGTGGCCGCTCCGGGGATCCGCGAGCGCGCGCAGCGTCCGCGCGCGGTCGCTCGCCGAGATGCCCGTCGTCATGTCGCCGCCGAGCAAATCCACGGACACGGCGAAGGCCGTGCCCTTGGGGTCCTCGTTCTTCGCGACCATGGGCCCGAGCCGGAGCTCGTCGAGGCGGTCCCCCGGCATCGCGACGCAGATGACGCCGGACGTGTGGCGCACGGTGAAGGCCAGCGTCTCCGCCGTCGCCGTCTCCGCGGCGAAGATGAGGTCCCCCTCGTTCTCCCGGTCCGCGTCGTCCGTGACGACGACGGGCTCGCCGCGCCGCATCGCGTCCAGCGCGGCCTCGACGGACTCGCGGCCGAGGCACCAGCCCTCGGCGTCGGCCTCGGGCATGAGCACCGTGCCGGCGTCGTCGACGGCGCGCGCGAAGCCCTCCGTGACGTCCACGCCGAGCTGTTGCGCGGGGGGCATGCGCGTCGCCGTCGCGACGACGAGGGACCGCGCGAAGCGCTGCCGCGGCGGCCGCGCCGGGCAGAGGGCCGCAGTTCGCGCGTCGGGCACGAGGCCCAGGGCCAGGGGCACGGAGAGAAGGGCCGCGACGGCGCGCCGTGGTCTCCGGGGGGCCGCCCGGGGGCGGCCGGCTGCGGAGCTTCTTCTCGCATGCGCTTCGACGACGGGCACTGAGTGCTGGACCGCAATATTCAACAAGCGTCTCGATACCGAAGTGCATCGACAGACCTCATCAACGTGTCTAAACATCCAAAGCGCTGCGAGAACTCGACGATGGCAGCCCTCTAGGTCCATCTCGTCCCACCATGGCGGGCACGTCCCTGCCGGCCGTGCCGACGGCGATGAAGATGAGCAAGTCGCAGCCGGCCCTCGACGCTGCCCCGGCCGCATCCCTCAAACCGTCGCCGAGCCTGCCGGCGCTGCCCGCCGCCGGCGGCGGCCAGCCCGGCGCGCCGAGCGCAGCCATCGACGACGACGAGAGCACGCTCGACGGCGAGACGCTCGCGGAGGAAACAATCGACGCGACGTTCCTCACGGGCGCGGACGACGACGCGTCCTTCCTGTCGCAGTCGTCGGTGCGGAGCTACCCGGAGCACCCCTACGCGCTGCCGAACACGATGCCGCACCTCTGCAAGCCCGAGGACCGCGAGGTCCGCGTGCGCCAGCGGCGGAGCCACCAGGGCGAGGTGCGGCGGCGGCGGGAGAAGCTGCGCAAGGACGCGACGGACAACGTCGTCCGATCTTTGGAGGAGCACGCGCGGCGCGTCGAGGAGCGGCGGCTCCGCGGCGTGCGGCTGGAGCGGGGCCGCAAGTGGCTCGCGTTGATCGCGCGCGTCGCCGCCCACGACTGGGCCGAGCAGTCGCTGCGGGGCGCGGAGGAGTTGCGCGCGCGCAAGGCGCGGCAGGCGCGCTTCGAGGAGAAGAAGAACGAGTCCGCGACGGTCATCCAGCACGCCATGCGCAACGCGCTGCTGCGGAGCGGCCACAGCGTGTTGCGGGAATTCTGGCAGAAGATGGCCAAGTTCTCCGCGAAGGTGAACCCGCAGCGGTGGCGGTGCCAGCTCCAGATCCGGTGCTGGCGGCGCAAGTCCGCCGTCGCGCTGTTGAAGATGTTCCTGCAGGAAGGTCTGACGCACCGGGGCACGCAGGCCGTGCTCAACTTCATGGCCAAGGTGCGGCGGCTCCAGCGCATGGCCTTCGACTGGCTCCAGGCGCGCGCGAAGCGGAAGGAGCTGCTCCGGCAGATCTGGGACGACTGCGAGTCCATCCTACGCGCGGAGCTCGAGGCCGTGTCCAAGGAGGCCTGGAACCCGCTCGCCGTCGAGAACGCGGGCAAGGGCCCGAAGAAGAAGGGCCTAAAATTGAAGGAGCGGCCCATGGCGGACCGCATCAACGACGACATCGTGAAATTGAAGAAGATCGAGGACGGCATGAACGCCCTCGTCCAGCGCCAGCTCAAGGCCGGCGTGCCCGTGAGCGGCGCGAGCTCGGCCCACAGCGACGTGCCGGGCATCCCCGCGCCGCTCCGCGACTCCGCGATCGAGGACATCTTCAACGAGATCTGCCGCATGCACGCGAACAAGCACGGCGACCAGAGCGGCATGCTCCAGCGCAGCGTCAACCAGCTGAACCCCCGCGAGTTCACGAAGAAGGACGTGCTGCAGATCCTAGCGTTATCCTCCACGAAGGGCCACGTGCACAAGATCCGCGAGAAGGACATCTACCAGCAGCCGAGCGACGTCGAGCGCTACAACATCATGCACTTCTTCACGGCCTTTAGTCCTCTGAGCCTCCACGAGAAGGTCACGGAGATCTGGATCCAGGTCTACAACACGCAGAGCGCGCCCATCGCGAACATGTACCTGAACACGATCGACCTCGAGGGCCGCAAGGCGGCGACGGACGCGAACAAGAAGGGCCGCCGCGGCGCTTTGCGGTTGCACAAGGCCGAGCACGGCCGGCGCAAGGGCACGGTGGGGTCCCAGACCATCGACGTCACGCGCCTCGACGTCTCGAACGTGGAGACGGGCTACAACCCGAACTCGCCGACGTCGCCGCTGCGCAAGTCGTTGAGCTCGAGCTTCGGCAGCGTCGACGACGTCGACGCGGCCCGCGCCGCCGCGGCGCGCCGCGGGTCCATGCCGGGCCAGATTTTAGCGAAAGGCGCGCGCGCGGGCGGGCGCGACGGCATGAAGGCGGTCGAGGAGAGCCGCTTCAACTCGCGCGCGTCCCAGATCGTCAGCAGCCACCTCGCGCGCTGCGGTTTGATGGCGTCGGACCTCGCGCCCCTGGAGTCGACGAAACGCCGCGAGTCCATGGCCATCATCAAGATGCAGAAGTCGACGCGGCAGCTCGCGGAGGTCGTCATCGTCAACTCGCCGAAGAAGGCCGCGGGCGACGACGCCCTCGGCGCGCGCGCCGGCGAGCGCCGCCAGCGCGCGCTCACGGTGCTGTAATTCGCAGGGTTGTTCTATCACGGTGCTGTAAATCGCAGGGTTGTTATACAAAGGGGGGCGGAGAGGCGGCGCGCCGGGCCGGCGATTCGGGCCGGGCCGGCGCGCGCGTCTTCGACGACACTCAGAGGGAGCTGCAGGTGCCGAGGTCGCAGGCCGGGTTGAAGTCGCCCTCGACGATGGCGAGCGACGACGACGCGCAGGCCTGGGGCGGGGACGTGAACGACGCGTCGACCTGGACGCCCCATCCCGCGGGGTCGATGACGTAGTGGAGCGTGTAGCCCGACGCGCCGGGCCCCATGGCGGGCTCGCAGTAGTAGTAGAGGTCCGCCGTCGCGTCGACGTAGGCGACCAACGCGTCGCCGTAGTCGTTGGACCCGTGGTCCGTCGGGTCCACCGCGAGGTGGTTGTCGAGCCACTTGTCCATGCCGCACTTGGGCTGGCCCTTGAGGAGCGACGCGTGGGCGCCGTTGAGGGCGTCCTCGTACTCCTTGACGGTCATGGCGTCGTTGGCGTCGTCCGCGTGCTCCGTGTAGCAGACCTCCGTCGTGTCCGTGAAGGAGCTCGTCGTCGCGAGCTTCCAGCACTTGCGCGCGTCCGTCTCCGAGACCTGGGTCGCGCCGAGGGCGCCCGTGTAGAAGGCGGCGACGGCGTCGAGGTCCGTGCACGCGCGCGCGACGCGGACGGCGTAGACGTACGCGCGGTCCGTCGTCATGGCCTTGAGCTCCCGCGCCCGCGCGTCGCCGAGGCGCGGCGCCGGCGCCGGCGCCGCGGCCATGCGGTGCGCGCCCGTGTAGTTCGTCGCCAGCAGTTCGATGAGCAGCTGGGAGCCGGGCACGCGCACGTTCGCCGCGTGCCACGTGTCCCCTCCCGCCGTGAACGACATGAGGTAGTAGGGCACGGCGTCGGCGTCGAAGGCGCTGAGGTACTGCTCGAGGTCGTCGGTGTAGAGCCCGACGTGGTGGTCCATGAAGGCGTCGAATTTCGTCATGTCGCCGAGGCGGGCCGTCCACGCGGCCTCGACGGCCTCGACGGTCGCGCCGCCGGTCGTCGCGCGCGCGGTCAGGTTGACGAGGTGGAGGCCGAAGCCCCGGCCGCCGCTCTCCTCGTCGAGCTGGACGCGGCCCTGCTGGATCTCCCAGGTCCCCGCCGTCGTGCACGTGCAGATGCCGCCCGTGCAGTCGTCGGGCGCCTCGGACACGGGGAGGTACTTGACCATCCACTCGCGGCCGGAGACGGGGTCGCTCGCCGCGTAGGTGCTCTTGGCCACGCCGTGGCCCGGCGCGTAGGCGACCTTCTGGGCGCCGGCGACGCCCAGGGAGCCCAGCAGCAGCGCAATCTTCCGGTCCATACTGGTGTTTGGGGCAGCCTTCATTGGCAGCCTTGCACGTTCTTGTCCAGGCGATGAGATCAGAAACGACCAATCGGGGTGTCCGAGGCGTCCGTTCCGAGGAAATTAGCCGGCCGGCGCGCCCGCGAAGTCGCAGGCCGGCGCCACGGGCGGCGGCGGCGCGCCTCGCGTCGGGAGGAGGTCCGCGCCGCCCGGGTCGCGGGCGCCGCCGGCGGCGTCGGCGAGGACGGCGGCCCCGCGGGCCGTGCGCGCGAGCGCGGCGCGCGCGGCCTCGGGGATGGCGCCGGGGCAGAGCACCTTCACTTTGGACCGGGCCTCGACGTGGCCGACGAGCTCCAAAAACCGGGCGAAGCCGACGGCGTAGAGCTCGTGGTCCAGGTCGACGAGCGGCAGGATCGCGGCCGTCGGGAACGACGACCCGTTGTAGGGCGGCACGGCGTGGCGCTTGTGGGACCGCGCGGCCTTGGAGATGGGGAACCGCCGGTGCTCGCAGTCGCAGCCGTGGCGCACCTTCCCCAAAATCCAGTACTCGAAGACGCACGCCGACTCGTGGTACAATTCCGCGACGCCGACGAAGTGGAAGGCCGCGAGCCGCGCCGACGCGTCCGCGAGCATGCCGTCGTAGCCCGGCACGCGCAGGTGGCCGTCGCGCGGGTTGAAGGACCGCGAGAACCGCTCGTTGCGGCACGTGAGGTACCGCGTCTGCATGTTGAGGGGATCGTAGCACGTCTCGGCGCCGGGGTCCGACGTCGCCCGCGCGAGCCACCGCGCGAGCCCGGCGGCGTCGTCCTCGTCGAGCGGCGGCGCGTCGGCGTGGGTCCGGCCCCAGGCGCTGTACTTGCACATCATGAACTGCGAGAGGACGTGCGCGACCGGCGCGCGGACGAACGTGATCACGGGCGCGGCGTCGTCGAGGGCCGGCTTCGTGCAGTAGCACTTCTCCGCCGTGGCCAGCGTGGAGCCGTGCGGGAGGAGCGTCTCGGCCATCCCGCGGAAGGCCGTGCCGGCGATCTTCGGGATGTGCACGTGGCGGTACCGGTTGTGGGCGCGCGCCTTCGCCTCGGCGTCGAAGGACAGGCCCTCGAGCACGGCCGCGCCGGGCGCGTAGGCGACGGCTAGGTTGAGCAGCGCGACGGTCGCCCGTAGCATGGTTGTCACGGCGCCGGCGCGGGGTCGCAAATAGGGTCCGGCTGTGGTAGTCGAGACACCTCGCTGAAGATCAAGAACTTCATCAAGGTCCTAGATTGAACCGGTGGCCAGGCCCCATTTGGGTGTCTATGGGTGCTCAAATTTATGGTGCTCGCATAGATGATGCGCCTCGCGGCGTTTGCCGCACTACTACTCTGCTCCACACGAGCGACAAAACCCGCGCCCTTCGACGTCGCGGACTGGTTCGGCGGCGGCTGCGGCCGCACAACACGCACCATCACGGTCGTCGAGACGCGCTTCATGCAGGGCCAGGGCCAGTTCCCCGAGCTCGTCGCCGCTAGGCTCCACCAGCTGCTGGCCGTCGCCGTGCCGTCCCTGGCCCACCAGACGAACCAGTGCTTCGTCTGGGTCCTCCTCACGGACCCGGGGCTGCCCGACGCGCCGCGGCGACGAATCGAGCAGGCGCTGCGGCCGCTCCCGCACGCGCGGCTCGTCGACTCGCCGCGGAAGACGGACCGCGAGGCGCCGAACGCGACGCTCTTCGAAGGCGCGTTTGGGGCGTCGCGCTGGCGCAGAGCCATGCGCGACGCGCGCGAGTTCGCGCTCGTGCGTCTGGACGCGGACGACGGCCTCCACGTCGACTACCTCCGGCTCCTCGCGGACTGGCGCGCGCGGCACCGCGGCGAGCTGTCGCCGACGTCGACGTTCGCCTACGCCTGCTCGTCGCGGTCCCTGAACTGGAAGAGCGCCGAGGCGAAGCGGTGGGAGGCGACGAGCGCGGGAAAGAAGCCGAAGAGCGTCCACCTCAACGCCATCTACGAGCGGCAGGACCGGGGCTGCGTCGCGTCGGGCCTCGCCATGGTGCACGTCGTCCTCGACGGCGCCGTCCCGCCCTGCGCGCCGCGGCCCTGCTCCGCGAACCACGACAAGCTCCGGGTCCAGCCCTTCCCCGTGAAGACCGTCGTCGTCAACGCGTCGTCGCCGTCGACGCCGCCGCCGGTCTTCCGCGTGCGGTCCGTGACGTCCAACGGCGGCGGGAACCACGAGGGCGGCCGCGCGGACGTGTCGCCGGCCGCCGTCGCCGCGGACTACGGCCTCTCGCTCGTCGACCTGTTGGGGCTCACGCGCTACCTCAAGCGCCACGAGGCCGCCGTCGCGACGGAGATGCTCGAGGCGTCCGCCGCCCGCGGCTGCAACGCCCAGTACTCCGGGTCCTGCGACAAGGGCGGCGCGTCCGCGTGGGCGAGGGAGGTCATCAACGTCCACGGGGACGCCGCGGGCCGCAAGGACGCCGCGCGGTGCTACGCGCGGCGCTACGCCGACCTCGTCGGCACGCTCTGCGCCGGCGAGGTCAAGTTCTGCGACGGCATGGTGCTCCGGCGGCACTACCTCGAGCAGGGCGAGGCCCAGGGCCGCCTCTGGGGCTGCGGCAGGCCGCGCGCGCTGCGGCGGAAGAAGGTAAGCTAGGCCGGGGTTCCGAGCTTAATCCTCGTCCTCGGGCTTCCGGAGCACGAGGGCCCCCATCTTCGGCGTCGACGGCCAGGAGCCCGTCGCGCTCTGGATGCGCAGCGTCTCGACGAAGAAGTAGGCCGTGTCCCGCCCGACGATGTCGACGAGCGCGCCGCGATCGCTCGCGAGCTCGCCGGCCCACGCGTCGCCGACGTCCTCGACCGCGTAGAGCCCGCCGGGCGCGAGGACCGGCCAGAGCGCCGCGAGCGTCTTCCGCTGCGCGTCGAGGGAGTGGTAGCCGTCGTCGACGACGAAGTCGAACCGCGCCGGTCCGCCCCGCGCCGCGAGTTCCTCGAGCGCGGCGACCGCGGAGCCGTCCGTGGAGTCGCAGGTCAGCACCTCGATGCGGTCGTGGCCCGGCGCGCCGTTGAGCGCGCGCGCGTCCGCCGCGGGGTCGAGGCCGACGACGCGCGCGTTCGGGAAGAGCTCGGCCCAGGCCCGGAGCGACGCGCCGACGCAGTACTCCGCGGCGCAGGCGACGCCCTCGGGCCGCGGCCGCGCCCCGCGGTCGGGCGCCCGCAGCCGCCCGCGATGGATCTCCTCGGCCATGGACGCGCCGTGCTCGGGCGACAGCGTGCCGACGCCGACCTCGAGCACCGCACTCGCCGCGCGCCGCGCGCTCCGCGGGAGCAGCGCGTCGTAGACCGCGCCCAGGCCGCTGACGCACTTGTTCGACCCGTGCGCGTCGAGCGCCGCCGAGATGGGGGCGCAGGGCTCGTTGCGGCACCGGGCCGGCGGCAGCCGCGCGTCGCGGACGGCCTCGTCCGCGCGCCGCGTCAGCGCGGCCTCGACGCAGCCGCGATCGTCGCAGCCCATGCCGGCGTCGATGCCGTGCGCCTCGGCGAAGGCCGCGACCGCGAGGGACCGCGCCGACGCGTTGCGCGTCGGCACGACGAGCGTCTGCAGGCCGGCGTTGATGTCCATCGTGATCTCCACCGTCTCCTCTGCGCGGGCGATGATTGCCAGCAGCGCGAGGACGGCGCTGCCCATCACCACCATGCTCGATCAGATGCCATGAAAGATGCCGGCAAGGAAGGCGCTGCCCATCACCATGCTCGGTGATGCCTCAAGATGAATTCAAGATGCCGACAAAGCCGGCTTGGAGAGCGAGAGCGACTCGGTCTTCGCGCGCAATCCACCGGCTCTCGACGCGACGTGCGCGCGCCATCAAAAAGCGGATATGGTCTTCGTGCCTCCCGAGCCGTCCTGGAATGCGCTCCTGCTCGTGCTCAACTGCGGAGGTGGCGACGCCGCCCGTCGCCTGGCGGATAATCGAGACAGCCTCAGTGCTATTCGTGACTTCATCAAGTTCGCGCCCGATTGGAAGGCGCTCGAGGTCTCGCTCGGAACGCCCCAGCGTCGGGAGTACAAATTCTGTAAGCCAGTTTATATGACAGAGTTCCCGGGTATCACCGCGGCCATCGTGGTCGAGTACGCTCGCTTTCTCCGCCTCTTCGAAGGCATGCCGCACAAATCGATCGCGCCGCCGCCCAATTGGCCGACGCTCCTCCATGACAACCCGGCTACTCCCAAAGGGCCGCCTACGTCCGAAGTTCTCAAAAAGATCTGGGAATTTCACTCGAAGCAAGACTCGTATGCGGAGGACTGCCTCTTACTGACCGGCCGAGAGATCCCGTACTATGAGTACGATGATTCTCCTGCACTCGATATCATGTCGGTCTCCTCCAAGAATGGCGGGCTGGTGGCGTACCGGCGGACGTACGTCCGCTACGAAGCGGCCTACGGGACTCCGCCGTCGAACGTTTGGCCTGATTCGTCCGCGCTGATGGCCTTAGCCGACGAGTGCCAAAACCACCTCAATTATTGCATGTCCACCGATGATGTTGGCCTGCCGTGCCGCAAGGAGGTTGCAAACAACGTCTGCTACTTCCTCGAGGACTTGGGAGATTCGGACGCAGACTACTAGTAGTAAAGCAGCATACTATCCCGGGCCGCAGTCCACGAGCACACGAGAGCTACGCGCCGTTAATCGGGGCACGCGCGCCGCCTACTTCTTCTTCCCGAAGAGGGGCGTGCCGACGCCGACGGCGTCGCCGTTCTTCGGCGACTCCGCGTGGTCGGCGGGCCCGTCGTCGCCGCCCTTGTTCTTCATGATGTCGGCGAGCATGGCCTCGACCTGCTTGGCGCGGCGCTCGTCGTCCTTCTTCTTCGCCGCGGCCTCCGGGTCGAGGTCCGCGAGCTCCGCGTTCTCCGTCGCGTCCTCGCGGTAACTTTTCCGCTGCTCCGCGAGCTGCTCGAGGTCGTCGGCGGTCTGGGCGCCGAGCCAGGCGAGGAAGGCGTCGCCCTCGGCCAGCGCCTCGGCCGTGGACGCCGCGCCGAAGGCGCCCGCGAGGTAGTCGCGCGCGCACAGATCGATCGCGAGGAGCTGCTTCGGCTGGTCCTCGAACGCGGGCAGCTTCTCCCCGATGAGCGCCAGCGCGCGCTGGAGCACGCCGCCCTCGTCGGCGCCGGACTCGCCCGCACCCCGCAGCAGCGCCGCGAGCGCCGGCGGCACCGCGTCCTCGTCGTCGCCGTACGTCTGGAAGTGCGGCAGGCAGTCCGCCAGAAGCCAGAGCTTGTCGTCGACGGACAGCGCCGCCGTCGTGTCGCCCAGGGGCTTCCAGAAGCCGTCGCGGGGCGTCGCCATGCCCAGGCCCTCCTTGAGCGCCTTGCGCTGCGCGCCGGAGGCCGGGTCCCAGCGGCAGGCGACGTTCGCGGAGAACTGGGCCAGGAGCGGCGTCGCGATGACGACGGCCATGGGCTTGATGACCTCGTAGATGTCCGGGAGCATGCGCGTCGCCTGGGCCGCCAGCGCCTCGCGCCGGCCGAAGTCGGGCTCGTTGTCCTCGATGAGCTGGATGAGCCGCGTCGCGCACAATCGCTTGTCGTCCTCCTCCATGTGGTCGACGTTCCAGAGCGCGTTGTCCGCCGCGGCGGCGGCGCCCGCGCCCGCGGGCACGTCCCGCGCGCGGTCGGCCATCACCACAAAGAGGGGCGTGCCCGACGACGCCTCCTTGGCCTTCTCCTTGGCGAGCTTCGCGATGGGGTTGTTCTCCGAGCCGTCGTCGGCGTCCGAGAAGTAGTCGTAGCCCCGCAGACCCCGCCAGCCCGCGCCCCAGAGCTGCTGGGCGCGCTCGTCGTCCGTCGCGACCATGGCCGCGGCCGGCGCGCCCGCGCTGAAGTGGAAGAAGGAGCCGACGACCCAGAGCCTTTGCGCGTCGTTGTAGTCGCGCCACGTCTGCGTCTGCTGCGCCGCGTGGCCGCCCGGCGAGCAGCGCGCGGCGCTGAAGGCGACGATGGCGCGGCCGCCGGGCTTGAGCACGCGCCAGAGCTCGCGGAACGTCGCGCGGGGCGACGTCACCAGCTCCGCGGCGCTGTAGAGCACGACGGCGTCGAACGACTCGTCGGCGTACTCGAGGACGCCGCCCTCCTGGAGCACGGCGGCGGCGTCGGCCTTGACGACCTCGTTCGGCGGGAACCAGAGCTCCTCGCCGCCGCCGTCGGCGGGAATGTAGGACGCGCCGCTGCACGAGCCGTCGATCTCGAGCACCTTGCCCGCGCCGGACTCGAGGTGGCGCACGAGGTGGCCGCCGAGCGCCTCGCCGGCGGCGGCGTCGAGGATCGGCGCGCCCTCGAGGACCTCCTCGACGAGGCCCTCCTCCTTGCGGAAGCCGTCCTTGCCGTAGGGCCAGGACCGCGGCCACTTCCAGGCCGTCGCCGGTACCTTCAGTCCCGGCTCCGCCATGGACGCGGGAATCTCGGGCATCTTGTTCGTCGTCTGCTGGAGCGGCGCACCGCGGGCCGCCGGCGCGACGGCGGCGCGGAAGCCATCGCAAACGCCGAGCGCACCGAGTGCTAGCAGTAGCTTCGTCGCCATGCTCGTCGCAGATCTCAATGTGCAACCCAGCACATCGACTGAGTCGAGGCCGCCGGGGGTCTGTCGACGTCGATGTTACGCCCGCCGAGCTACATGGCGGGCTGGGGCGCGTAGCCCGGGTTCTCGCGGAAGAACGTGTCGACGCGGGACCGCGCCGCCGCGCTCTCGCGGATCCACTTGCGGAGGTGGGGCTCCGCGGCGGCGAAGTCGTCGACGCCGAAGGCGCTCGCGAAGGCCGCGCGGTCCGGCGTCGCCCGGAGGAGGACCTTGGCGAGCTCGCGGAAGAACTGGCTGTTGTAGGGCGCGCAGGTCTCGAGGTAGGACGCCGTGACGCTCTTCGAGAGCGGCTCGTCCGCGCCCTCGGCGAGCGCGCGCTCGAAGGCGCGCGCCACGAGCTGCGCGATGCGGTTCACCCAGAAGAGCGCGCGCGCGGCCGAGTCCTTGGACGAGTCGGCGCTGTCGAGGATGCCGCAGATGTCCTTCTTGGACACTGCGCGGATCCAGCCGCGCGCTTCGCGGTGCTGCGGCGACCGGGCGCGCGCGCGCGCCTTCGACGCGGAGAGCCGCAGCTTCTTCGCGTTCGAGCGAATGTCCGACGCCGCGGCCTTCTCGTAGAGGACGCCGAAGGCGCGGAAGGCCGGCAGCAGCGACTCGAGGCCTTCCGCGTAGAGGTCCGTGTCGAACGAGACGAGGCTCGTCGACCGTTTCAGGAGAGCGCCGGAAGTCTGTAACGCAGCTATTCCTTCGTTTGTCCCGGGCGCGACTCTGACTGTTGGTTCGTTGACGAAGCGTCGCCCGAGGGCCGCGATTAAGGCGGCGATGAGTGCGATATTGTAGCGAGCGATGAACATCTTTTCCGCTATTTTTGATGGGTGTTTGCGTCGCGTACGAGGGCAACGACCAGACGAGGGTGTGACCGACGTCGAGGCGTCGAGATTAAGCGCGACGAGACGACGAGTCGGCGCCGACAAGTGAGAACACCTCGACAGCTTAATTAAACCGAGGGCTTTGCAAATCTGCCACAGTCCACAAACCGACGACGGGCAGCGATTGCCCGCTTCGGACGGCGGCGCGCGCACGCGATGGAGCAAGTCGCCGCAGTCGCCGCGCGCGAGGATTCCGTCGCCATGGAGGAGGAGGACGCGCCCGTCGACGCGGACCAGCGTATGCCGGACAAGGACGACGTAGCAGCCCGCGAAAGCGAGGAGCCCGAAGCGCAAGAAACCAAGGAGGAAACGCCGCCCAACGGCCACACACAGGCGCCCGCGCCGGCGGCCTGCGACGACCTCAACCCCGAGGAGGAGGCGGCCGCGCCGGTGCCCGCCGTCGTCGCCGAGGCCGAGGCGCCCCGGTCCCCCGAGGCCGCGGCGCCGGCGAGCGCCGACGAGGTCTGGGTCGACGACGGCCATTCGCCGCCGGGCATCGACCTCCAGCCGCCGCCCGACGAGCTCGAGGCGAGCTCGCCGCGGAGCAGCTTCTCCGGGGCGCTGTCGCCCGCGCGGTCCGCCTACGGCGGCGGCGACGCGGCGTCGGACGACGACGGCGCCGCGTCGGACGACGACTCGGGCGCCGAGGACAGCGACGGCGCGGAGAGCGGCAGCGACGGGTCCTACGACGGCGAGGACTACGGGCGCTTCGGGTTCCGCGGCGAGTCCTACGAGGTCGTGCTCGCGGAGCCGCGCCTGGGCATGACGCTCGAGAACGTGCTGGAGCAGACCGTCGTGCACGACGTCGACGCGGGCGGCGCCGCGGCCGCGGCGGGCATGCGCCGCGGCGCGCTGCTCGTGGCCATCGGCGGCGAGTCGACGTTCGGGCTGCTCCACGACGAGGTCATCGACCGCCTGCGCCAGCCGCGGCGGCCCCTCGTGCTGACGGTGCGCGACGTGCCCGAGGACGCGTTGGAGGCGCGGCGATCTGAAGCTAGAACATATGCCATGGCCGCGCGGGGCCCGACGCAAACCGGCGACGACCGGCTCGAGGCCGCGGGGCCCCTCGTCGCCGCCGCCGCCGCGGCGCTGCGCGACGCGCGGTTCCTGCCCAGGCCCGACGTCTCGCAGATTTCCTCGCCGCCGCCGCCGCCGAGTCTGAAGGCGCCGATCGCGACGCCGCCCAAGTCGCCCGACGCGGCGGCGGCGCGCTACTTCGGGGACGTCGACGACGACGACGACGAGAGCGACGACACGGACGACGAGTCCGCGAAGCTCCGGCGGCCCAAACCCTACGCGGTGGCTTTGGAGGAGTGCGGCGCGGCGCTCGCCGCGTTGGACGACGCGTGCGCGCGGCCGACGCGGTCCGGCCGCGCCGCGCGCCGGGCGCTGCGGGTCTGCGAGGACGCGCTGGCGTCGGGCTTGTGCGCCGCCGTGGAGTGCGCGGAGCCCGCGCGATTGGGCGGCGGCGACGGCCTCCCGGGCCGCCGGGGCCCGCGGCCCGGCCAGGCGGGCCACCCGGCGGCGGACACGGACGACGACGCGCGGCTGGCGCAGCTCGCCGTGGACTGCGCCGCGCTGGCCGGCGGCGGCGACGGCGCCGCGCTCGAGCGCTGGGCGGCGGTCGCGGCCGCGGGCTGCGGCGACGGCCGGTCCGCGGCCGTGTGCGCGTCCCGCCGCGCCGCGCGGCTCCTCGCGCGGCTCGCGCGGGGCGCGCGCACGCGGCCCAAGGCCGCGGCGGCGACGGTGTTGAAGGTCGTCGTGCGCCTCGCGGCCGCGGGCTGCGGCGAGCGCGCCGCGCCGCGCGCGTACCCCGGCGCGGCCGCGCAGGCGGGCGCCGCGCCGCCGCGGAGCGCCGCGGCCGCCGTCAACGCCGCCGCGGCCTGCTGCGCCGTCGCGCCGGCGGCCCACGGCGCCCTGCCCGAGCGGCTCCGGCCCCTCGTGCG